GGGGGGGGTGCGAAGCAGGAGCAATCGCTTCACCGATCACAGCGCTCAGGCTTGCCAAACAAGCTAATAAGTGACTCAGTCAGAGAGTAGAGGCAGCGCACCCGGAAAGTGGCATTGCATCAGTTGGCGACGACTACCGCGTAACATCGACTGCCCTCTCACGCCTGCTCTCTAGACAAACACTACTGTTAACCATAAAACAGCGGAATAGCAAGTGATGGACCGTGTAACCACAAAATGTGACCATTTTGTACAAATCGACAAGAAGAAAGCGAAAACGCGTTCTGTAGGGCTCACAAAGAGCTACTAAATCCAGTGCAAGTTGTGGCCTATTCCAACTGAATAAATAATTAATGACTATTTATAAGGTTCAGGAAATTCACGGTAAACACCACAGCTGGAACAGACGCTGCAACAATCAAACGGGAGAAAGATAAGGAAAGGGAGAAAAAACTAACAATCTTTTCCGCATTGACAGCTGTCGACTGTTCTGTGCCCTCGTTCATCGGTGTAACGTTGTGACAGACAGCAATGGCCAGGACGGCTTCGGCCAGTCGTTCGTCACCTGATTTGCGCAGTTGCTTGGTGCCAATATCATCAAAATCCGGGGGCTTCTCAAAGTAGCGTTTCAGTGCCTCCGTCAGGTCATCCATGGAGTCTGGCGCGAAGGCCACGTTGCCCAGGTGGAGCTTCTTGAAGACCATCTCGTTCTGTGTGAGGGTGCCCGTCTTGTCCGTGAGGAAGAAGGTCACGCGTCCCAGTTCCTCGGGTATGGTGGTGCTACGAACGACGCAGCCCGGCAGGTCCTTGTCCCGGCTTATCATCAGGGAGTAGACAATCTTCGCCATATCCATGTTCACACGCAATCTAGGTTTGACAACAGCGAGGAGAGAGTGGAATTATCAAATTTGAAAGATTATAGTACTGATCAGACAAACCTTAAGATACGAATAAAACTGCTTAGAGTCAGACGAGCATTAACAACAAAGACGAGAGAAAAGAGAGTGGTCATTTCTGGCTTATTAGCCGTCATCGGTAGTCATAACTGACGCTCAAACCTGCAATCGTAGTCTAAAGCTCTAACTCATTGAACCAAGGGTTCGCTGTCTTGCCGACTTCATCAGGAATATGAACATTAGTGGATGGATGGCCACCGATTGCTAAGGGAGCTCACTCGCTTCGTTCTGGCTTGGAAATTACTTTTGAGCCGAGCCAGCAGCCACATAACGGCTATCGGCTGGGTATGACTGGCTGATGACTGCCAATTAGCCGGTAATGGCCATTCCAGTCCCTCTTTTCCTTGTCAGTAATGTTCATTTGGCTATAATAACAGCAGTTGTGCGGGCGTTGAGGGCGACTGGAGAGCAAGCCTCAAGGTTGATCGGCGAGCGTCCATTCACCAAAACTTTTCATTTCAGCATCAGCCACTGCGCGTAAGATTACTTTGAATGGCTGAAAATTGATAGGTGGGTTAGGGTAGACACTGGTATTCTCTCAGTAGGTAATAGGGGCAACTGTTATTAGCTATGGGTAAACTGTTGGTTCGTGAGTGTTTGTCGAATTAGCTTTACAGGCATTTATGGTTCAGGGTATGACTGCCTCAAACAATACCCAACATCCACGCCCATTAGCCACCGTCGGGCCAATTAACTTGTCTGTGGTGAACTGAAATACAGTGGAGTCCGGTTAATGTGGACACAGACACGGTCTGTGGACAACCGCTTAATGTGGACAGTTGGCCAGGAACGGAATTTCTCCATA